TCTCTAACTTGGAGTTCACCTTTAGTTCTCCAGCGTGTTTTTACACCTGTGCTGTCCTTGCTGTTTGGACCTCAGCAACCTCTTACTTTGGATTCTGGGAGTGTTCTTTTCCCTCCGGCAGCTCTGGTCACGGTGGTGGAAACTCAGCTTCTGCCTACTTTCCGCTGGACCAGCTCCTTTACCTCCATGTTCTCTCTTCCAACACAGCAAGATAATTGGTAGTCATATTGATGATCCCGTGTCACCCAAGACTGATTATATTCTGAATGCTGCAAGAAGGCATTCCATTTTAGGAAAAAAAAAAAAATCCAGTATGGTTGAGATTAAACCCATTTTATTACTTAGATGGGTAGTCCTTCAACTATTATGAAAATCTTGGTCATTCTCAATATCTTCTTACTCCTTGAGGTTTCTAAAAAGCAGAAATTACATAGTATTATATTACAATGGCATAAGGAGGCAGAGAATTATAATTTAATGAATTATAGAATGTATTATTTTTGAAGAGCATAACCAATTTTTTTAGTAGCTTGTACCAGCTTTCATATAAAAAAATGGTTTCATTAAACAAAATTTTTTTTTTAACATTTTGTTTACAAATTTGTCTTTTAGGTCAATAGCAGCAAATACCTAGGTAGAGATACTGCAATATCATAAAACACTTCAAAAGGGAGATAGTAGAGCAAGTGGTTGTTGAAATGTTTATTTTGGAGAGAATTCTTGGCATTTTTGCCTCACATCAGCATAATAAGAATTTGTAGGAGAGGAGAGGAGCTTTTTAATGTGTTTGTTGAGGATTAATGTCCCAGTAGAGCATTTGTGTTAGTGAATATGTTATGGATAGTACCATAAATATAGTAATTAAAAAGTTGCACACTAAACATTTTCTGGACTGGCATAAATATCCCTCTCCTCCCCCTTGATGGCCTGCCTTTAAGTGACTAGTGCATTGTTCATCTTGGTTTCTTAGGATTCTTAATCAAACATAGGAAGAAGTATGGTAGTCTTGAAGATTTATTTCCTTCTTGGGGTATTGCTGATCAGATGCACAGAAACGGATTTGATGTTTTCAGGACTAAGTTATTTTTTTGCAGTACAGAAAAATGTCACCTAATACCTACTAAAAAAAAAACCCCAAAAACCAAGCCAAGACAAAAAACGGCAACAACCCACTCTTCTTCATTTTGGGAAATTTTATCATTAAAGTTATTTCCAGACAGTACCACAGTGCGCTGCTAGGTAATATGTAAAATGTGTTCAGTAGGATCGGTGGTACCTCAGAGTTTATGTGCTGTAGAAGAAGTGAAATGATGAATAATATAAATATATATTAGGATGAAAACAGAGGCCTGTAACGAGTAAATTTTCTGAGTTTTCGAGGAAGCGGGACTTGATTATCTCATTACTCTCTGTTGCCCCAGTGGGCTGAACCTGGGCAGGTTGCTGTGTGAATGAGCATCTGGGAGGAGAGGTGCCATGCTGTGAGAGTAATGACGTCCTGTCCTTCACACGGAAGGAGAACAAAGAAGGCAGACAGATGTAAAGTGGGCAATTTCTATTCCTTTGTATGCTCAGAATGTTCGCACCTACCTATTTTCCCATTTAGGAGGCATTCTGGTTTTCATAATTTCATTATTTCTGGATCCTCTTATTTACCACACAATATGTATTTATGAGTTCATAAAGATCTTCCTCTGTGAGGAGGAAAGTAAATGCAGTTGAGTGTGATTTGCAGCTTGGCCTTGAGTCAATTAGGTTGGGAAAGGAAGGAATAGACTATTTCTATTCTCACCATTTAATTGGCCTCTTTACCTCTTAGTTGTGGGAACTCTTCACTTACATATTGGTTTATTGATTGACTCCGTGTTTACTGACTGCTTGCTATGTCTCCTTCGTGCTGGGGATGCAGGGAGGGATGACCCAGTTGGTAGGTAGGTTTCTGATGGCTTTGGAACCATCTCCATCCTGGCTGACTTCAGTGATGGTGACACGTTTATCTAGAATTCTGAAATTCTGCCATCTCCCAAAGGAGATGTTCATGGTAACAGGATAGACAAACGGTGGAGTAGCCTCATAGCTTTTGAGATCACAGAGTCTGCCTGGAGAACACAAAATCTACTTTCCGAGGTGTGTTCCATTGTATTAGACTTCCTAATGAACCTTGCTATTTTGTCATTAGTGGAATGCTTTCCAAGAACAAAGTCACCTCACCCACTTTTGGATTTGCCAGAACCTGAGGTGGAAGAGGGGGCTAAGGGGGACCCTTAGGAGGATGGCAGCGCTGCTGTCTGAAGAGGGGTGACGCTGGGCCACCTCGGGGGCAGGTGCTGCTGTTGACCCCACTCCCCTCTCCTGGCCTCTGCCTTCAGCTGTCTGACTCCTCATTTTCATTAGGTTAGTCATGCTGGGAGGGGTCTTTGAATTGAAGCATCTTAAGAAGCCTTGTGAGATGGTGGAAAGCGGTTTCACTTAAGGAAATATAACTTACATAAACCTTTGGAAAGGTTGGCACCACAAACCAAAGATCATTTTAAGAGCCTTCTTCTGAATGTTTTACTTATAAGATTTTTTTTTTTTTTGATGCTATTAAGTTCTACTGTGGGTGTGCTCTCACCTCACAAATGCCCCTTACCCCCTTGATAGGCACTGGCATATGTGTTTATCTTAAAACAGGGTTGGGCTATTTAAGTTTTGGAGGGAAGCAGGTATATGAAACCAAGATTTTCAAGATCTAGGTTGTCAAACCATGTACATATCACCCCACGCTCGGTAAAGAGCCTTGCCAGTTATTTTATCTATAATATTGTTGTCATTTCGCCTGTTGCCTCCAACATCCCAATGCTCTTACCTACCGACCAGCTCTAGCCGGATTTGTCTCTATTCCTCTACTTCTGGTATTCTTCTAATATCAGAGGGTGTGGATTTCCTTCCTGCTCAAGGTCAGCCCCTTCATTTGTACTCCTGACCCTTCCCCCACCTCCATAGGGATCTAACTCCATCTTCCCCTTCTCCCTCTTGTCCTCTTGCCTTGCTCTCTCCACTGACGCCCTCAGCTCATGGACGTGGACTTCCGTGAGCACCTCCGCCGTCCAGCAACCGTCCGTTTTCCCTCTTCTCTTCCGCTCGCTCTCTTGTCTTGGCTGCCACCACGTCACTGAAACTGCGCGCAGCCAGGGCGGCCAGTGACTGCTTATGTGGCAAATCCAAAGATATATTTTTCATTTCTTATCTTTATTCATCTCGTTGTATCCCATGGCGCGCCTCTGCCTTTCTTCTTCGGTCTTTTTCCTTTGTCCGTTCTGTCATTGTTCCTGTTCTCGAGGGTCTGCTTTTCAGCCCTCGTCCTGTCTCCTCGCTCTACCCACATTCCTTCAGGGCTGTCACCCACTAACCTCATTTCTGCTCTCTCTGTGTAATGATCACGTAGATGCCTTTATGTTTTGCTCAGCTTTCTTCCCCAAGCCTCACACTCAAGAATACGTGGATGTCCCCACCCAGATGTTCTACACCTCAGTTTCTAATGCCCCAAACAAAACCCCTTGTCTTCCTTAGGAAACTTGTTCATCCTTCTGTATTCTCTATGCAGTCATCACTCCTACCGCCTACGTATAGTTAATCACCAAGTTATTCTGCTGTTAGTGTCTGGATGTTTCCCAAGTACTAATTCTTCTCTCCTCCTCCTCCTCCCCGCTTTCCTAATGCCCACCCTTCCTCTCATACCAAACAAGCACACTGGCTGAGCTGGCCTCCCTGCCTCCACTCTGCCCTCTTTGAATCCATCCAGAGAGAGTACTGCATCTGAAACCCAGATCTGACCCATCTGTGGCTGTCTGCAACAAGAATAAAGTCAGAGTCCTTGAGCATGTGGACAGATTAGGATCTGGCTCGAGGCTCCTTTCCTTTCCTTACCCTAGAGAGGCCAACGCACTGAGTTACACCATGCAGTTTCTTACCTCTTCTGCCTTTTCCCCCATTCCCAGCCTGGCTAAGTCCCACCCAGCCTGAGGACATGTTAGGCGATCCATTTAGTTGGAAGCCTTCCCTACCTTCTCCATTTCTGGGCTAGGTGCCCCCACTTGGCATAAGTCTGTCATCACACCCATCCCACTATCTTTTGGGGTGGGTTATGTGTATGTCTTGGCCCCACTGGACTTCACTTTCCTTAACGACAGAGACAGCATCTCATTCCTGTTTGTAGCTCCAGGGCCTGGCACAATGCTTGGCATCTAGGAGGTATTCAGTGTATGTTTTTCAAATGAGAAATTCAGAACAACAGCAAATCAATGTGATGTCTACAAAAATGAGCAGAAGTAATCTATGCATAATCGTTGCCTTTGGGAGGGGGCATGAAGGGGGCTTCTGGGGTGCTGATAATGTTCTAGTTTTGATCTGGTGTGTTCAGTTTAGGAAAATCCATAGAGCTGTTCACTTACGGTGTGTGTACTTTTCTATATTTATGTTATACTTCAATTGAAAGTTTTTTTTTTAATCAATCTGATGTCTTATCTACCCGGTACAGAAATTTTCTTTTTTTTCTTTCAAGCTTTTAGAGTTTTTACAGGGTATTAGTTCAGACGTCACAACAAAGAACCAGGCTGGAGCTGTTCCTCGACTTTCGGGAGGAGTAAGATGAGCACCAACAAAATGTGGGTGGGATTGCCTGGTCTTCTACAGAGGCCAGTGGGGGCCAACCCCGATGGATAGACTTGCAGTGACCTGCGCTTCTGTCACACTTATTGCAGGGGCCACATGCTAATCACCAGCAAGCTCTGTGCCTGCCCACAGTGACACAGAGACTTCATCTCACATGTGACTATGAATAATTCATAAATGTGGTTATCTGGAAATTTGTGGTCATCATTAGCATTTTAATGAAAAAAAATGTAGTCATTATCCTAAATCTCTGTTTTGTTTCTACTTTTTTTTTTTTGTCTCCCCCCCCATCCCCCACCCCAGCAAACCGTCTCCATCTTTCCTGAGTACTTGGAAACTGCTGAGGCCCCTGCTAATGTGCTGACCAGTCGCTATGGGCAGACGGTACCCGGAGGCTCCCTGTCACCCAGGCAGCTCATGTACGTATGGGATTGGATCTCCCTTTTTCCCCCTTTAAATTTCGTTGTAGAATATTGCAGAGTACTGAACTGGTGAAGGTTTGTAAGATTTAAATGAGAGGGTTTAGAAATGCAGGAGGATGGATTGCTCTCGGGGACGTGTTTAATATTGAATGATGAGAAATGCTGTTGAAGTTCGGGTTTTTCTAATCCAATGGCCATAGAAGGCCAGAAGTGTATATAAGCAATCTCCCTTTTCTCTTTCAATGCATCTGTTCATAGACAGGGTTTGTATTTTTTTTTTAAGCTTTCCTCTTTTGCATCACAATGTGTAACATTTGAAACAATAGCAATGCCATAAATTAAGATCATTTTCAGGGGCGCCTGGGTGGCTCAGTCGGTTAAGTGTCTGCCTTTGGCTCAGGTCATGATCCCAGGGTCCTGGGATCGAGCCCCGCATCGGGCTCCCTGCTCTGCAGGAAGCCTGCTTCTCCCTCTCCCACTCCCTCTGCTTCTGTTCCCTCTCTCGCTGCCTCTCTCTGTCAAATAAATAAATAAAATCTTTAAAAAAAATTAAGATCATTTCCTGCTGATTGTTACAATTCTTTTAAATAAAAGAATTCCTGGACTCAGAAGAGAGGTCCTCCTGGATACATCATTGTTGAATACACGTTAGGGAGAGACTCCCTGACTCTTACTTGTCAACATTCTCCGAAGGAGGAAATTCCTGATTCCCTCAGTGATGGCTTTCGACGTCTCACAAAAGTTAAGTTTTTCCCATTATGGTCTTTTGGGAATGGCTACAGTTGTGGCCCCAATCTACCCCTGATTGACTTAGGAGAAAAAGTATTATTGCCTTTTTAATCATCTCTCCTATTTCTATAAAGGAGAGTCTGTCATAAACTTATTTTTTTTTGTTCCAGTTAGTCTTTTAGCTTTGGGCCAGCTGCTTAGATATTTATTTGCTTTTGTTGCTTCCTTTGGACCTCTGGAATTTTGACTTCAAATCAGGGGTATGCTTGGGCTAATTCCCCAGAGTCCCTTTGCTCCCATATCCTTTTCATCGTTGTGTATATTCATGTTCACCTTTAAGCCTTATTTCCTTGTACATCTCCATTTTTTTTTTCTTCATAGAAGAGTTAGAACTGCCCTCAAACCCTCCCCCAGACAATTGCTTCTAAAATAAGCCAGGTGGTTAGAAGCAGCAGGGGAAGGGAGAGCTGACAACAGAGCGGAGATTCAGACCAACTACCGGTGATGCCGCCCGCATGGGTGGGCTAAACAGCTTTTATGTGGATCCTTTAGGATCCTCCAATGGCATGACTCCATTACCCTAAAATTAGCAGTTTTCATAATGAACATCAGAAAAAATTTACCCTTGTATACCGTAAAACAGAGGTCAGCAAAATGGCCCCCCGGGCCAAATCCAACCCACGCCTGTTTTTGTAGAAGCTAACAATGGCTTTCATATTTTTAAGTGGTTATGTAAGTGCCTACAGAATCTACTTTGCCTCTTGGCCCTCAGAGCCGAAAATATCTACGGTCTGTCCTGTTAAGAAAAAATTTGCCTCTTCCTGCTGTGGAAGAAGTTGGAACCATGTACTATGATTGAAACATATGACATTGTTATTTTTTGACCAGTTTCCACCAGCAGAAATGCTAATTTTATGGGTTCAGTCTACTGCATTTGGAAGAACATTCTTCTTTCAAAATGGTTAAAACGTTAAAGTTTGGGTTCTTAGGGCGGAGGAGGTACGTTGACTTGGAAAATTCATGCCTGTGGACCTGCTCGTTGTTCACCGGTTTTGCGAGTGATTCATTGAACCTCTTCAGAGTTTTCCAAGGGGCTCAGACCTTCAAAGTCTGGGCTGTCAAGTAGTTGAAATGGTGCCTTTCTTCGTCATTTGACTTCTCGTTAAGCGCTCTCTAGGAGGAAACTGTCCTAATTTTACCCTTCCTGGGTGCCAGGAACACGCTAGCCATTCCCAGAGGCCTCTGCTGAGCACGTCACTGGTGCTTTTTTTCCTGGTGGGAAGGAGGGGGAGTGGCTGCATTCTGCAGTGGGCACACCTGACAGTCCCTTGGCCTTCAGGGTGTTTGCATAACACCTTGCTTGAAACATCCTTCCCAGAAACTAGACCGTGGTTCTCACCCTTTTGTGCTTTTCCTTTCCTTTTTATAGTGTTAATCCCTTGGTTCATTATGTTCAAACCATCATTTATTTTATGGGGGTGTGTTTTCTGTTCCCCCCTTCCTCCCCATTGTCCCTCCTCCTCCTTATTATTAAATAAGATTTGCTGGTTGAAACTGCGAGCTGACACTCTTTAGTGGCCACTCTTAGTGGTAGGGAAGCATTAACCTCAGCTGCTCTATCTCCTGTCACCTTAGGCAAGAAAGTTAAAGATGACTTGGGGCCTCTCAGCCAGGACTAGATCTGAACAGGACCACACTGTTCCTGGAGAAGAGAAAATATTTCAGGGGAAAAAAATTCTCTAGAGTTTATAATTTTGTCCTTGAGTGTGGCCAGAACCATCAGTCAAGGATTGAGCACAGTGCTGTGCTCCGAATCATTTTTGAGGCTCACATGGCAAATTGGAGTTTTTAGATTTTCTTTTTTTTCCGTTTTGGGATTATTATTTTCCCATTCAGGGCTCTCTTCTTTCAGGACAGGATGCTGTTCCTTGGTGGAATGTGGAATGGCATCCACTGAACACCAGGAGAAATCAGTAGCTAGAGTGGACCTCTCCAGTCTTTGCTTACCGATATTTGTGCTTATGTTGAGACTGGTGTTTTGAAATTATCCGGGGAATTGCTAAGAAGATTGCATCCTTGTTTGTTTGTGTTGCACCTAGCTGTTCCTCTGCATGGCTTCGGCTGAGCTGTCGGGGGCTGGACTGTGGCAGTAGCCTCCTGACCTCTGGCCTGCACTCTCTCGCCCTGCAAAGCTGACTCATACGTTTAGCCACATTCATCTAATGGAAGCATCACTTCCATCCCTGCCCAGAATGTTTGGTGCGTCCCCACTGGTCCAGAAGGTCACCCTGACATTTGAGTCTTCCACATTGTCTTTTGCTGCCCCTTATTTTAGTACCCATTACTCATGGTTACTGATAGTTGTTGTTGTTGGTAGTATTACTGCTCGGTGGATATCTTACACCAGCCTAAGTGGGCTGCTCCTGCCAAGACCCAGTGTTGCCTTTGGGTCACTGTACCATTGTTCCTGCTGGTCCCTCTCTGCGATGCAGATCTGTCTTTTGAGCGCCTGCTAGAACTCTGCTCTGGCTCAGGGACACAGCAGCATTGTCCTCTTTCCCAGGAAGCTGCCCCGGTTTCCCGACTAGAAGCACATGCCCATGTAGCTCTTAAATCTCCCTCTTGAAGCTTGTGTCCCAAATCGCTCTCTGTATTTTGGAGTATGTTGTATATACTTTGTCTGGACTTTGACACTAAACTCTTTTTCACTTCCCTCCTCTTCTGCGCGTGTGAGGACAGGGCTTTATCTGTGGTAGCTCCTCAAATATTTGTGGCATCACCTTAGGCTTGAGATGGGATCTGGTCATTTCTTCAGGAGGCCCCCGGAAGGCATTTTCCAGAGCTCTTGGCAGAACTGGCGCAGGCCGAGGCCACGGGGGCATAATCAGGGCCTCCAGGGCAGCCCAGGTGCTGTGCCCAGTGCTGCTCACCCACCCTGGCCCTCCTTCCACCTGCCTTTCCGTCTCGCAGAGGTGGGGGAAAAGGTTTCCTCCTTTTCTGTACTTAAGAAATTGCCATTTAAAAAGTTTAAGCAGGGGCACCCGGGTGGCTCAGTCGGCTAAGCATCTGACTCTTAATCTCAGCTCAGGTCTTGATGTCAGGGTAGTGAGTTCAAGTCCCATGTCAGGCCTACTTAAAAAACTTAAAAACAATAAATAAAACATTAAAAGTTTGAGTAGTAATAGGTACATACGATTATTTCTTTTGACCCTCCCCCCTTGACTTCCTTGCTGTTACTGATGAAAGGCATTGGTTGTGTTCGAGGAGGTACTACATGCCACAAGCTGTGTCCTAAAGTTACTATAAGTATCTCAGTTTGAAGGGGATAAACTTTTAAAGGTTCATTTTATTATCCCCATTTCACAGATAAGGAAAATGAGGCCTGAAACAGCAAAGTAACTTGTCAGAGCATAGTTGCAATTTGAGCCTAGGTCTCCCTGCTCCCCTGCTCCCATCTGTATTCTTTCCTGCACTGGGTTGTCAGGTGACCCGCTGACCACTTATTTAGGTGGTGTCCCCTCACCTGTTCTCCCCACTAGAGCTTTTGGAAGTACAGGTCTTAAAGACCTAAAGGATTCAGCGTCAAAGGATGCTGTCATCTGTCCCTAGCTCCTCTCTTATCTAGTGAAATTCAGTAACCATAAATAACACAGAGGCCCTAGGAGAGAGTTCTTCATCCCAAGACCCTTGGGATCATGACCTGACCCGAAGGCAGACGCTTAATGACTGAGTCACCCAGGCACCCCATAATAACACTTTTAAAATCATACAGGTATACATATGTAATATAGAAAATTTTAAAAATAAGGAAAAGGAAGAATAAGCTCTTACAGCCCTCTACACCAAGAGATTGCCATTTTATGCATTATGTGGAATACCCTTCTGTACGTCAGGTATTCTCTCTCAATATATTTATTTTCTGTTTACTTACAGAAATGGAGTAATGTTGCACATGGTGTTTACTCAACAAGGTATCATAAATATCTTTCTAGACTAGTACGTTTCCTTTCCTGGCAACTTGAAAGCAGCTGTGGCCGGTGGTAGGTTTATCTATGTGGTGTTCCAGAGGGAGGCAGTAAAAACAGTTGAATGTGTCGAGGCTGCTTCACCTGGATATGAAGAACTTCTGCCATGGTCAAGCAAGTGCTGGTCAGGACCCATTAAATTGATTTTCAGGAGTGCCTGGGTGGCTCAGTCAGTTAAGCGTCTGCCTTCGGCTCAGGTCATGATCCCAGGGTCCTGGGATCGAGCCCCACATCGGGCTCCCT